GCGATCCACCGTGTGTGATTTCCCCTTGTATCGTAGGTGATCTCGGAGGGAGCTCCGCCAACTGAACCCGACCCGGGTCTCGAATCGCCCGCGGGTTGGTATCGTTGGGTTAGACGGGCTTGAGTCATCGGCTGAGTTGGGTTGGGTTCTGTCGAGTCGGTTTCGGACACCATCTTGTGCGCCAATCGGTATTCTCGTAAGCTTGCCTTTCTTCTCGTGTTACTGCCCGATGCCGAACCATAGTTCTTCTCTTTGGCCGATCCCCGCCCGCTATTGCTTGCTGGGGGTGCTGGAGGTTCTGATGGTACCGATAGTCCTCTGGCACTCTTGCTGCTGCTGCTGTTGTTGTTCGTGCTGCTTTTCTTTCATTTACTGACTAGCTGGTTTTATCTGCAGCATGTATTATTCCCCCCCCCCCCCCCCCAGGTTTGAGCGTCTACTTTGATCACCTCCTGAATGCCTGCCTATCTGTATATGTACACATCGTGCTTCAATTCTGCGAGGCTAAGCTGTGGCTAAGAACACGGGGTCGCAGCTACAGTCTACGCTGAGCTTCGTGCTTGTTTGTTGCTTGCGAAAATGAGAAACTAAGGGATGGCGCGTTCTACTAAGCAGCCAGCGGGAAAGCTTGTCTCTCTGCCAGATTCTCAATTCATCTCGTCTGCTTGCTTGGATCGCTGGGTTCGAGCTGTTGTTCACTGTGTCGGTTGTTTGTGCGGCCTAATGCTTGGCTCTTGGAGCCTGCTTGGTTCGAATTTCGTCAAGAGCACTTTTCTTTTCTTCGATATGAACCAAGACACTCTACCTTTCCTCGGTTAGTAGAGAGAATGTATTATAGCATTCATTTGGCCGATCTTGCACCTTTTCGAACGACCCAACGAAAGAAACAGCGAAAGATCTGTCTGCTTAACTCAGATCAGCTTCGTTCCCTACTTATGTGTCGGGACAGAGCTCTCTTGTCGGTAGGGCTTACTATTTTAGTTCGCTGGCAGAATGGTTACGCTGCACTAGTCCCGGCGGGGTGCCAGATGTGCTGTCCTGATGAACGGTTGCTGCTTGCCGCTTTCCTTACCGCCTGCTACTAACGTACAGAGGTCGTAGTCGATCAAAAGTGTCTCGAGCTGAGTGTACGCAGAATCGAGACTCAGTATCCGCAGGCTAGAAGAGCTCAGAAAAAAGTTAGAGCAGGCGGTGCGAAGGTCAGCTCTTGGCCCTACAACCGCCAGATGGAGCACTTAGAACACTGGAGACCTCTGGGCTTGATTAGACATAGCGAAATACAGGCACTCGGCCTCGTGGAAGACCGGCCTGCTGGTTGCTTGATTGGCTAATATCATCAGCTCTAATGGAAGGTTCATTTCCGGTACAGCTAAGCACATCAGGTACGGAGCGGGCATCATCGCCGAGAGCATAAACTCAACTTGTCCAATTTGTAGCGAACCGAAGAAGGATAATCAGTCAATCGAATGATAGCAGGGTTAGAAACTTAGCAGAACTAAAGTCCAAAGTTTTGTCCATTGCTGTCAATCGGATAGCATACCGATAATTCAAAAGGCATGGTGGCATTAATACATGTTGCCTTTGTCGATGTGGGAAATTACGGCACAAGCATATGCACATGTGTACGACTGTGCACAGTATGTCGATTTCTAGTTTAACACGCAGATCTGGTGTATGCCAATGAATGGATGCCTTATGTAACGTGAACAAATGTCGTCCTGGCTAGTTTGCCAAATAACGGCGTGTTTGGGTCAAAGCAGGGAGCCCTTTAGCAACTGATTAATCCGACAATACGGTTATTATATCGCGTATTTCCGAAGCACAGAGTTTCCATGAGTAAACTACGCAGGTTAGCTGACCATACGTAGCATAGCTGTCTTGAGCGTCACAAGTCCCCCTAGGATAATCTGTTTATGAAATGTTCTGCTGATCTTGTAACGACAGTTCATGCCGCAGTCGCGAAGGGTAATAACGGACAGCAGCTAAAACAATACACAAGCAGTTTTCAAATCGAGAGAATATACTAGATACATGAGGCGTATTGCAGACAACTAGGAAATCGTACTGGAGGGGGTCGGGTGCTTTCGCTTATGAGGACAATAACTATCTTAACAGGAAAATGTATTATCTTTCAAAGCTGATCTAATCGCGCGCCCAGCACATGCAAGATGTAGCCTTTTTGCATGCTAAAGACAAGTTACAAAGTATATATATGCATATATATATATATTGCACAGACAAAAGAAAAGTGCGCCGTACACGTTTTTTCACGTTCTGAGGTGATTTGAGTGTTTCACAAAATGGTCGCTGACGAATGGCTTCATCGAACGAACTCACTGCTTACAGAATTTAATATAGGTTTGTGCTGTACGTAACCTTATTTGTTGGCTTGGCTGAGCATCATTCTGATCGATCGAGCATGACTTCATAACTAAGCCCAAGACGAAAGTCCTCTTTTGTATACGCTTATGGTTCTTCCTGTATAGGGAAAATAAAGGACTGACGTCTTAATATTCCAGGTCAGCATTATACTAATAATCGAAACTCTCATTTGTTCGCTATTAGAAAGATTTTCGGGAAAGGTCCGCACTTATTCAAAAACCAATGACGAGTTCAATACGCTGAACAATATTGCCATAAGCTGTATTGCTACTTGAAGCGGATAAATATGAGAAAGTTTAGCTTGTTCGAAATTCGCTGATATCATATAGTTTACAGACTACCACCTACGTAGAGCCTGTTGCATACGCCTAACTGAACTAGTTCTGAATTACGCTTCCCATAACGATTCAGTAGAGTACACTTTTTGCATATCCGTTTGTACAAACCCTCTTGACTGAGGTGCTACTCTTTCGAAAACTAATCCTAATCTCGTATAGTCGCGAGTGATATAAACTGCACAATTTGCTTAAAATAAAAGTACCGTACGGTTACTTGTATAGGCAACCACTACGATTATAAAAATGCTGTACAAGTTACAATTCCTAGAAAATTACGTGTCTCGATTAATATTGTGAAATTTGTAGATACAGCAGCCATGGTCACCCGAGGGGCACGTTTTGATCGACGAACGTATTTGCAAATACTTGTTGAGCCTTAAAGAAAGATTGAAAGCCATGATTTTTTCCTAAGCTTCTTCTGGCTGTTTGTAGCCTAAAAAGAGGCTTGTTACTTAGAGGAACAGTATATGTTAAAATTATCTATACAGAATCGAAGAGCTGAATTAATGTAACGTTCGAGTATAAAGGCCGATTGTACTGCTTTAATAGAAGAATTTTTCGCTTCAGATGGCTAGCAGTCCCACTCAGCATAAACCAAACCATATATTTATTTGTCCACGCCCGGTCTTGAATCTAAACCAAGTCTCATCAAGTGTTCCTAAATTCAGTAGCAGGCAAAAACATGTTACCACTGTGCAGTGACGAGGACAGATTTAAGGACTACTCAAATATTTCTAGGCGAACTCATCGAAGTATTAGGGTTTCCCCAGAGAAGTAATTAAAATTGCTAAAATCGCCTAATTGCTTTCGAATGAGCTGCCTTAAAGCCAGTTTTGTAAAACATTGGCATTTTGATTTTTTATTCTATCTCAGAATCACTTCCATATTAGTAAGTGGGATTTTAACGTACAGTTTCATTTCAATGTTAGGTGTTTATTTGTTTGTTTGTCCTAAGAGGTACACAATTGATATTCTTCACGTGAATAGTAGGTAAGCGATATTACTAGAAGCTATCCTTGCGGTTTTTATATCATGAACAGCTTTTGCGTGTCTGTAGACCTAAGGATGGAATTAGTAGACTAAGTAGACGCCTAAGCGTATTACAAGAAACGAGTGTAACTGCGTCGCCAGACGACCTTCTGACGATAACTTCTCTACTTTCTAGGTAAAATTCGATGAGTGTTTTACTGACTGAATTTAGTGACTATTTTATTCGTTCATAAAAATAATTACCTTTAGGTCCTAAAGTAGTTTTTGGATTTGCTGACGTGGACGCGCTAACCTGCCACTCCACAGGATTTTAACAGAAGTAGGAGATTAACGTATTAGATTTGGTGGTAGCGAATATCCATTGTAGGCCTATATAGACGATTTTCTGTCCACCGTCCGTTGAATTTATTGACGCGAAATGCATAGGTTATGACGTAGAAGCGTTTAATGAAGCGATCTTGGCCCATTCTAAATTTTTATGCAGTGTTTTCTAAATGAACTTTACGGTCCATTAGCAGAAATCACCAAAGAGCAAGAAGCTTCCTCTCAATATAGAATTGACTTGTTACCTACAATGATATTAGGTGAAGGTGCTGCTCTTAGAGGACTATAATTAAGTAGCCCTAATATACACCTCGGTGAACAAAAAATTGTTTAAAGGAGTGCGCCTTCAATATCAATTCGCGCTTTCCACGGAGAGCTTAGTGACTTATTGTCTACGCACTCTGATATGGCAAACGATGTCCTCATAGGTCGGCTTCAACTGCCAGCTGCCCCATTACACTATTCGGAAACAAGCCTGCACTTTGTCAGAATTTAATAAATAAATTATTAATCTGATAAAACTTTTGTGGATCCGCAACCCGGTTTCCTAAAGCTACAACAGTATCTACAGTAATAGATAACCTATAACCGTAAAGACAGTATGTTACCAATAGCCGACTGCAATGAAAATAGAGCACCGGGGCACGGCAGTGGAGCAATGTGAATACCTCGATATGAATTGCAACATAAACGGAAAAATGACGCCTTGGATTACGAGCATGTGAAATGATGAGTAATTTTCAAAAACGATCGTAGACTGTTGCTACTTAGCGCGGCGAAGCTACTCGTAGATGTTCTTAAGATACCGCCAGAGTCGTCAGAAATATAAATACGATAGAAAAATATGCAGGAAGTGAACAGACAGATTGCGAGGAGATCTGGTGCCGAAGTTGCGGGTCGTGGCCATATATTCATTTACAATTATCTCCTTGCAAACTGGAATGAAAATGACAACAGGATAAATAGTACAGGTCAGACGTTTATTTGATATTTCCTCTACCCGCTAAATTTATTATCTCTAACTTTTCTAAATTAGTCGTTCACTTTCCTTCTTCACATATTTACGTTGTTCTAGCAGGAGACGCCTTGTCAACGCAGCAAGAGGCATCAAGCGTTTCCCGCTACCCGTTACGCGTTTGTTTGTATTATCACTATTTCTGTCATTATTTCCACACAATCGATGTATCTAGTCGTTAACGTCATTGTTCCTAATGACGTTAACATGTCTAATACTAATCACTTACACATTCAGCCGACCTACGTTCTTTTGCATTGTGTTAATAAACTGTCATATACACAGTGGTAGTGCACAGCGTTTGTGCTATTTTACCATTTGCTCATATTATTATTATTAGCATGTCTACGTATAGACAACCATTTAAATTGGATTTTCTTAAAAAAAATCAGACCACACCCGCTGCTATCGATAACATACATTGCATCCGCTCGAATTTCAATTAAGTAATCTAATTAGATCAACATATTGATTGATTCAACTGCTCCATGCCTTCATTTAACATGCAGCAATAGTTAGCGCAATACCGATCTCAAAGCGTGACCTAAACCCATAGGCATTGACACAGCATCGAAGACGTTTTCGCTTCTTAATGAGTTCATTTGATGTCGGTAAGCTAGAACCTCATCTAGAGAACCCGCGCATGTCAGCGAAAAGCGTGGAAAAGATAAAATCTATTTTATTTTTCTTTATTCTCCTCTATAAAACTTCATGTTACTCTTCCATAACTGGACAGAGGTACAGCAGCTGCGCGTATTGATCACAGTTGTTGACATTTTCAATATCAGCTGGTTGTCGCACGGTTCTTCGTCAAATTGAGCCTCATCGTATGCAGGGAATGATGGCAACGGGACGGGTACGGGGCACCTGAAAAGCTATCGACTCAGATTGATGATCCTAAATCGGACGTTCTTGAGTCGTCATCTTGAGGGGCAAATTTTTCGAGCCAAGGGTGACGCAAGATGTCCTCGAGGCTGGGTCGTTTCTTGGGGTCTCCTGAGCACAACTAAAACAATAGTTATAGTTACCGTAAGAAGCTTCTCGTGGTTTTTTTGATGCACGATGCTCAGTTCAATAAGCTGAACACAACTAATTAGTTAACAAAAACAGTCTCATTCAGCAGTTCCCATCAGGCAACGAACGGAATCTACGGTAATAAAAACGTTTCTTTTGGAGGTATTTAAAGATCAACATAAGGCATTCCGAGCTTGGCCTTCTGAAGTGAAAATTAAGTTGTCAGGAACATCCGAAAATACGGGAATGCGTGTTCGTTAATAGAAGATTCGGGATTAGGTAAATATAGTGGTTTTTTTTAAACCTCCATTTTCTCTATTTAATGATGCTTGGAGTCGCCGTTGCGTTGTATACTGCAGCGTTGTCACACACACGTTCCTTGCAAAAACCACAAATAAGTTCAGCAAGAAACACACCGGCTAGACCCTAACTGAGGCACAAGTCATGAACACTATATCTAAAAATTGCTGATACAGAGGACCCGGCTGCACAGAAAAGCTAGCTTAAAATGGCGAATGAAATCCGAATATACAAAAAAAACGTTATCGTTCAGCACTACAACACATTTCCACACTAGATTTTTGATCCTTAGGCAATTTTCAACCTAAAGCGCCTCCTATCTCTCGGATCTGAAGTCTCTTAGATTTCACTATTGCGAAAATCCCAAGATGCCCGCAGTGTACCTCGCAACCACGCAACATCCATGTGTCCTTCAATTGACACTGTTGGGACATCGCGCAATTTTTTCATAGAAAATATCTCTTTTTTGCAAGCCGTAGAACCTTTTAATGATTTGATGTATTAGGTTAGGATCGCCATGCTTCTTGTACAGATAGATACTTTCTTGTGAGAAAAAACTTTTGAAAAAAATTTTTTTGCAAACGCCTATTGTCGTACACGCAGCTTGTGACAAGCTGGGCATTTCCTTATTAGAACGAGACTGAGTTTCGTCTCATACAGTTCAACTGTCATCTTTCCCGGCTGTGCGAAGTGGATTTTTCAGTATTTGTCGGGCTTCAGAAGCTCATAGTGAAAGACAAAGTCTTAGGTCTATTAAAGAACAAAATTGACTCTACTTATTTTGTTTTTTTGCGGAAGGTATATGGTACAAAAGATTCGCCTTCCTGTTATCCTAAAGTGTTGCATTGTTTAATTCTTACATTGAATTCTTTTCTTAAAACCTGTGGCAATCCAATTCAGTGAATCATATTGGGACTAGCTCTGCGGTAGCAACTAACGAACGCCGATGAATATATGTTTTGCTCATCGGTAGCCTAATGAACCATCTAGTTTTCAACTTTGTTAAACATGTTTGCTCACGGTAGAATCTGATACACCCTATGTTCTATAGCAAACTGTAACAGGAGTGTTTGTCGAGGGATTTTTCCAGTCATCTATTTTATCTCGTCGTTATCAGTCACGAAATAATACTGAGTAAAAAACATCTTTTGAGCTCGGAATTTCCTAACCGTGTGAACCAATAAAATTGTCTCGTCAAAAGCCACATGAGTTTGACCTTAAGCATATTTTTTTCGGTGTCCTCGAATTTAAAACTAAAAATAAAAATAGCACGAAGTTACTCGCGAAATAAGCGTATTTCAAATACCTCTAGGGTTTTTTAACCTACACAGTGATCGTTGTTTGTTGTAAATTATTTTTACTACTCAAAAAAAATAATTTACAACAAACAGCGATCTTTCTAAGAGGCCAGCATCGTTATAAGTCTGCCCGTAATTGTTAGAACACGACGATAAGCAAAAACTTTCTGCTCTACATATATATACCCTCAGCACTATATTTATTCAAACGTTCCACCTGAGCCCTACAACAATCAATTGTCTTACCTGAGTAATAAGATGTTTAGCCTCTTCGTGCATATGCGACGGGAAGTTGATCACGCCTTTGGCGATAGCCTTGAATGTTAGCTTATCTGAGGCTTGTTTAAAAGGCGGAGCTCCGGTCAACAGTTCGAAGAGCAAAATCCCCAAACACCAGACGTCAACTCGATTGTCGTACTTTTCATTGGCTAACATTTCTGGTGGTAGGTAATCTACTGTGCCTGTGTTCCACCGAAGAGCACGGAATAGAATCTCGCTTGTTAAGAATCATAACATTGTTCATAATCAATCACTTGATTGGGTGTTTCTTATTTTTAGATCAACTGATTTCTAGGCGATACGACTAGCTCTTAAGGTATTGAAACTGAGGCTACTGCTAAGTTATTAAAAGTTACGAACCACATAAGAGCGAAATTAAACTCGTACATATATATATGCACCATTTGATCATGTTTAGAAAAAAAGAGTTAGGGTACCTGTTTTAACTAACAGGAAACAATCAGAAATATGTGCCTCCAGTACGAGTTGATTTGAGCCGTTGTCGTGGCCATAAAAAACATACGGTAAATACTAACCACACAACGTAGTGCGAGCAGATGAGGGTGCATGCACGCTCCAGCCAAAATCCGCTATCTTTAACTCTTCACCATCCTTCGAGAGCAGTAGATTTTCCGGTTTGATGTCACTGAAATTTTCGCGTGAACCAGTACCATTAAACACAAGGGGCGCATGTCAGTTTTTAAGTTCATTATCCACACTGTGGATTTATGAGAGGTTCAAAATAATACATTATCTTATTTACAGAGTTTCTGTATGGATACTGCATCAGTCCTACAGCATCGTTCCTTTTACACACATAGGAATCTACTGATTTCTTTGAACTAACGAGATCACTTGCGTACGACCAGTTAGATATATATAAGCCAGCACTGCTTGAGATATATATATATATATAACGCAGTGCCGGCTTAAAAACTCGGGAAATTTTTATTACATTGGGTTCATCAAAGAAATCTATTGCTTCCTAAGAAAATTCTTAATTATTCTTGAAGAAAGGGCAAGTCAGTCAACATACAGGTCCCATACGTTCGTCTAATGAACACTAAGCAATCTAATGAATGCTGGCAGCAATCTTTCTGAATACTAAATGCTCATTCCATCAGTTAAGATCAGTTAGATAAGTCTCTGAGATAATCACTGTCGCATAAACGTGATCTATTTCATATGAAAATAGGGAAAACCGGGTAGCTCACAGAACCCTCGAACAAACAATATATACATCATAATTAGGTTGGAACCCTCAGTAATGTACGCTTAGCGAACTTGGTGTCAACACTCGAAAAAATCAAGGTACAAAATCGAAAGAAGTAATATTAAGGCGAATAATTAGTTCTTCAGTGAATAGCCGTTGCGTATCGACTGTGTATCTATAATTTACATAGGCTCTAATGACACTCAGCATGGCGCCGCAATTTCATTGACCTGAGTCGATATGATGAAATATTTCTACAAAATATACACAGTTGCTCCTCAGATATAGAGTTAACCAGGCGCCGAGCGTGTATTATGGTAGACATATAACTCCAGGTTTTACTACAATCGATAATCTCCTATAAAGTTCACATGGAATAGATTTTTATTTTATTATAAAAATTACTTTAAAACTAAATAAGGACCGATGGAGAAAACTATGCGGAGTTTGTGTTTCACACCACAAGTAACAAATAAAAAGTCAACAACATACCGGTGGATGACTCCCTTTGAGTGAAGATACTGCAGGGCAGTGGTGATTTGTCGCATGTATCTGGCCGCAGTTTCGTTGTTAAAGCAGCCAACGTCCCGGAGTTTCTACAAAGAGCGAGGTACAGCAACGGATACATTTAAACTCATAATACATGACGCTTTCTTACTTTATATCAAAATATTTATGCAGCTATTTATAGGTAGTAATCCGAGATTGATAAGCTCGCCCAATGACGTGGGTCCAAATAGCTACTGCAACTAGTGTTTTGCTATAAAAATATTATTGTAGCAAAGTATACCTTAAATAGTTCGCCTCCAGGTGCAAACTCCAGAATGAGATAGACTCGTTTCTCGTCGTGAAAATAGCCAAACAAACGCAGAATGTTCTTGTGTCGAAGATGTGACTGAATTTCGATTTCTCTTCGGACTTGGTGTACGACCTGAACGATTTAGAAAAATAACAAATGTGGAAATATCGTTATTTTGAAGAAAAAAATGTCTACGTACGAGGAAGAAATTAAAGTTGGATTTGCCAAAAAATGTCTCAGGCAGCTGTACAGCAACACAAAGCGAACTGGGCGTCGAGCCTAGACCATCTTTTTAATTGCCCCTGTGTTTTCTAGGCAAACATGTAGCAGCCGCGCAATCAAAGAGGCGGCGTATAAAACGATATAGCGGCTTCGGGTCACTGGCTCAATTGAATAACTTAATGGGCGTAGAAGTGTAAAGTTTTAAATTAGTTAACCCCAGCATTTTTTTATGTTGATGCCTACGGTTATTTATATTGTGTTAACCAGTTCTCGAAATGATCTTCTCGGTATAGCATCAAAGACTTGTTCTCATCAGCTGAAGTCTAGCTGAAGTGGGCCTTATTAAGTTTCTCCAGGGGACTTATGAAGCGGCACGGTAACCATGCCATGGTAACCATTTTCCATTGCTAAAATTTGAACCAGCAATGGCCAGGTGTTCATAATGGCTACGGCAACGCGTCTGGAGCGCCTCAGTTACCCAGACCACGCCGCCCCTAAGTACTAGTTGGTTAAAAAAAAGTTTCATTTTTATTGTATGATGGTGATGATAATCACTATAAGAAACGAATACCTGAGCATTTTGCAGCTGATCTTTGAAGAGAACTTTGAGCGCTACGATGAACTTGGACTTCTTCTCGCGCGCTACATAAACCGAGCCAAACTTGCCTTTTCCTAGGGCACGCCCGATTTCGAAGTCACTCAGCTGCCATCGCATATCACTGTAAACAATATTTTATTCAGATCACTATTGTTTATTCAAATTGTGTATGTAACCGACAACTGAAAATCGATGCATATAGAGAAGTGATAATGACGATATTTTGTAAGTATAACAAGCATTCGTTCCATTGAGCAGTATATCTATTTTGAGCCAGCCGACTAGAATAGCTACCAAGCCGATATGTCGACCCAACAAAAGGCTGCAACTAAGTTGAATATCTATCTATTAATTAGCATTTAATGCTAGAAACGCCTCAAGCACCTCTCAAGCTTTCACCAACGTTTGAATATTGTTTGGAAAGCTCCTCCTGAAATAAATCATAAGCTATTATGGACTCTACGTTAAGTCAATATAACCCATTTATTATAATATAATCCTCGGCTTTTTAAAATACTCTTTCCGTAAAAAAGTATTGGTGCATTAGGTAAGGTGCTCGAAACCTGTAATTCTCTGACGTCTTTTGTGCCAGGAACTTTTCCGAAACTGTGACGGTTTAGAGACCGCTAATAGAAAGGTGTTGTTATGCCTATACTGTTTAGTTTCTGGATATGCACATGTGTAACGGTTCGAGCTTTCTTTCCGGTGACAAAACCTAAACAACAGATCATTTAAATAAATAAATTGAGACGGGTGTATAGACATGTTATGGATTTTGTTCTGAAATCTTCTTCATAGTTCACTTACCCTTTACCTGGTTTTTGAGGTTGCTGACTAGGACTCGCATTCGCACTCTTTGAATCGTTTTCCTTTCCGGTAGCTAAAAAAGTGACACAAAAAATTATTTTATCACGATTATTATGTAGCATAGATCATTGGAAGGTAGGATAATAGTAGCTGAATAGCTGCGGCATCGCGGAGATTACGAAAATAGCCACAAACATAACCAAATCACCGCAAAAATGAATAGCAAGAATATGACTAGCAGTTTCGTTCTTGATAATATATTCGTCGGTACCTTTTAATATTTGCGCGAGAGATAACAGTATGGCCTGCATACGTACATGTAGAAGGATTGAACATGAAATCTATAGAAAAAACACAATAAATACTAGTCTCTAAATAAATAAAGTTGCTGCGTATAACAAAAATGTGGCTTTATTTGACGCAGCAAGCTTGAACCAAATACAAATATAGATTTTAAGACAGGATTGACCCGCGAATAATTCTTATTGAATCTGAGCTGTGTATCTCATCTTTGTAACGCTGCTGTTGTTTTGATTGAAGCCAACTGAACTCGCAAAGCTAGAGAGAAATAACCTGCATTAATTCGAGGCGCGCAGCTCTAGCTAACCTCACTTCGAAAACACGTATTTTATATCTTTATTTTCATAATCATAATATATTTATACGCGAAAACGACTCATGTTTACAATGGGCTATACCATGAATTTTCTGCCTTCACAACAATACTAGAACAATATTTTATAACTTTTTTATAAACGACTAATTTTTTTGGTCATATATATTTAGTCTGAAGTCCAAATTAAGGGTATCATGCTACCTTACAAGTGCCTACCATGATGCCATATGAAAATCAAAAAGCAAACAGCGAACGAATGGAAATCGGATTCTTTTATACGAAACATTTTGTGAATAACTTGCAGTAATGTTGCAGCGTACACCCATGTAGCCTGTAACCTGGAACTGGCAATACTTGTTTTCGACTATAGCCGACATTGGTCGGAAGTCCTAGTACCGATCGGAACCGATTAGGTGTATAATATTATAGAAAGTATAAAGAAATACGTTCTGAGCTCTTCATGGTCAATGTTTTACTGATGAGGTATTTTTTGTTGAAACGAATGTCCAATATCACAATGGTTCGATTCATGTGAGCCTCTCCTGAGGCAACAATTTTATAGTAGTGGACCAGTCAGCTACTTCTCCCATAGAGAAATACATTGGAACCAAAATATGTTTTTCTTTTTTTTAGGAAACAAACAATTAGCGCCGCGCATTTATTGCTGAAAATATGCGCAAAAAAACGCCAATAATCGTAATTGAAGAAATAATCTTAACAGATCGGTGTCATTGGGAATAACAAGAGAATGATCCAATATAAGCTCATGTAGAAACTCCCCGATTTTCCGTCAGCAAGCTTAGTTGAGCTGTAGATACTGTTACAGACGTCTATGATTAAAAGGCGTCTGTAATGCCGGCTCGAAAAGCGCCATTTGCCCTAATGCTATCGCATCACCATCCCAAATAAAAAAAAAAAGTACATACTTGATATTTAATTTATTTCGCTATTTGGGAATGTCAGAAAGCTATGGAAGAGATCCGGGATATTTATGGTGTGTACGACGAGAGTCTATTAGCCGAAAAGACTGTTCAGAGTGAAACTGTGTTAAGTTTAAGGGTAATTTGGGGTAATGAATAAACGGTAAATTAATGGTACTGACCATCTACCTAAAGTCCACGAAAACCTCAGATGGAAAGAAACTCATTAATTGATCGAGAAGATGAGATGCGAACAATCATAAAATATCTCAATTGAAACACAAACTTATTTTTTAAACAACTGGGCTTCCCTTCCTTAAATGGAATAAAGAGTACGAGCGAACACACAGCCACAATGATAGGGTTCTAAACAGAACTGCATTGGTTGACAAGAAGTGGTATTTCTACGTCGATGTGAAACACGAACGGATATATCCGGGTGATACGGCTAAGCTCAGTGCTAATGCCCAGGTTTCTATCCAAACGATTATGATTCGCGTTCCTGTAACTGGAGGAATCTTACGAACCGTAAAATGCATGAGAAAAGCAAGATGGCACATAGAGGTCCAGTTACAGCGAGTAAATAAAGCTACTTACTAGCAAAAACCCAATAAACAAAACAAAATCCTGCTTCTCCGTGACAATACTAAACCGCACATGGTATAAGTCCTTAAAAAGGCTCTACGACGTTTCTTCACAGCACCTGTATTTTTTCAATCTCGCGCGTTGACGGATAACTGCATTTTTTCAATCTCGCGCGTTGACGGATAACTACGTTTCCCGATTACTAACCCGATAGAATTCATAAAGTAACTAACAATTATAAACAGCTGTAAAAATCAGCTAGACGAATTCTTCAGCATCAGGTATAAACATTTCTAACAAGATGAATTCGTTAATGGATATCAAAAGGGCATAGGGCACGACGACAAATACATAGTAACGTAGCTTGTTTTTGTAATTTATTCAATTTTTGAGAAGTGATGAAAATAGTTAACATCATTTTTTGACTAAGCTAGGAATCGTGCGATTTATTGTAAACTGAAAGGTCTTCCTTTACAGGACAAGATTCTCGTGATTATCGTGGCATTGAGTTTAAGATCACTCACACTCATCTTACAGATGTATGTCTATGTTGTACATTGGTGTAAGTACATTTACTCGTTAATATATATACATATATCGTTTAATCGCTAACACTATTCATTTATCAGACTACAAAAATTATGGTTAGTACACGGCTGTTACTATACAATAGAAACCATCTATCAAGAGTTTTGGAAACGAAACGTTTACATGATTGATTCAGAAGACGAGAACATCAAAAATGTACTACAGATTGCAATCAGGATAATGACATGACAACACTGCAGTTCTTTTTAACGTAGTATGTAACCCATTATGACAGACATATTCTCATATGTGTCGGTTTCGAGGTTTCAACGTCAAAAAGCTATCATTTATCAACTGAGAAAAAGGAATAAACGTCAATAGTCGTTGTTTCAAGAACGGTGAATCGTGTTTTTTTTTTTTGTTTTAGAAATCGCGTAGTGAAATATTAGCGTATCACTCACGAACCTGATCTATTTGCGATGTCCATGATTTCACAAATACGCAAATGAAAATGTCTTTAGGGACCCTTGAAATTCAGCTGAAAACCGTGTGAACGGCGAAACCCCTTATGGGCCCGGGTAATAGAAACCTCCAAGCTGCAATTTAAATCGACGCCGGATGCTCGAGCAGACGCCCGTTCGCGAACAACTGCTGATTCGGTAGTAATCGCTGCTCTCGAGGCTTATTGTCGAATTTTGCCGCCTTTTACGGTGCAAAAAAGCCAGCAGGCCAGTGCGATGCATCGGCTATGATCCCCTATGCGAAATTGTTGAACAAACTTGTACACTGGGTCGTAAGCTTTTGCTAGCTTTATGGGAGTTGATGACGGTTTAGTTTAAGTTTCGGTTGTAAGCAGAACAAAACGGTCAATTTCTCTATTAGTTAGAATCCAAACCAAGGCATGATTTTTACATCGGATCAAAATACAAGAGACTGCTCGACGACTTCTCGGTTGTTATTTCGCGACCACAAACAAATAGTTTCTCACACCTATAAGTCATTGCTAGTACCGATTTTTGAGCCAAAAACATCTTTGTCACTTTCAAATTTTCCCGCCAGACCCTTGAATGGGTCTGGCTGCCCGACCTCGATTGCTGCTCCTCCGAGCACCTATCTGCCTTCACATCGTAAGCAAACTGCTTCGTTTTTTTTTCTCTGCGTACTGTTGTCTTCCTCTCAGAGTTATATGGGAGCTTGGCAACAGTTAGTACACGTCAATACATATGGCCGAAAATAACGACAACCACAAATGCAGCAACTTAAGCGCGTTAACAACAAAATTACTCAGGGCCACGAAGTCTTCACTTTAAGGTCTTGTCAGCAACGTTAATATGACTTGAAATAAAGTATGTTTAATTCTTTACAGAAGGTTAGGTATTTGTTGAAATATTAACACATCAGTTATAACGCCAAGCTGGGATTATTTGGCATTTTTTTGCATCACCTATGCCAGTGATAGTATCTGAAGCGGAAACAACAATAATTTGAGCTGTGTGGGTCAATGTTACCAGCCAAAATCATCGTCGTCATCATCGCTGATTATCCTTTGCAGACAGAGATCACTATCACTATTGCAGCTCCAGCAACGGAAGCACTATGTCGTTGTATTCGAGTGTGCGATCAGCCGAAGTTGCAGCGGCGGCAGCAGATCAACGTACCAACAGCGTGACAGTGAACCGAACAAGCATTCATCCAATCGAAGCAGATCAGGCAATAGTCTAGTCGTTATTTTATAACAGCTGTCCATAAATTATCTGTCTGGGTGTACGCAGGTGCAATAATATATTTTTGTATAATTGTATTGTTGGCAGCAGGAAGTGTACAGAAAAGTTAATGTAAACAAACTAATTGCAGCCATTCAAATGCAATCCAGCACGAAACTATCGCCGCTGTCGTTAGCCGTCCCTGCCAAGAACGCGTGTTGTACCTTGCTATCAACCTTCTCCCAATGCTCCCAATGTTACCTGACCGCCCCCCGCCGTAGAACTGTCATCGCAAAGAAGTCCACTAAGCATTGATCACTATTATCATTCGGTCGTCTTTCTATCGCTGTGTGTATTAGTTGTCGTCGTTATCCGGTAGTCGCAGCAGTCGTAGCAGCAGCAGTGAAATCGCCGAGACTAGGAACAACACCCCTCGACTGACGACGTTCGTCAGCATCAGCAGCAATAGCAAAGAGTGAACTATAGTGAGTGACGAACGCAGACTGGCACCAAACGACAGGCGGATTGAGAGCAACGAAACGGATCAACGTTTCACGACGTACTTACGTCAGTCAGCGACTGCTCAGCGTCAACAACTGTCAACGACTGCGAGTCTAGCCAGCTAGCCGTCCATTCAGGCAACCCCCTACAAGCAGGCGTTGACAGCCGAAACTATACAAGAACGAATTGCAGGAAGAGGACTAAGACGAATTTCGTGAACAAACAGTGCTGCGAAACTGCTGGAACATTGCAAGCAACCGAGTATCCGATCGTTCAGCAGTTATCACCATGGCCACCCTCAACCCCGAGTAGTGAGTACAATACGCGTGCACCACTGTCTTCTTCATGATACTGCGTCCAAGCACTTCCAGCTTCTCGTCGTATCCTCCTGCTAGTAATTACTACCGTTGTTATGTGTCTCTGCTTAGATCTAATCTGCTCTTGAGTTGTTCATCGGAATGGTTTCTTCAAAGATGAACATTTAAATCGACAGATATAGAAGTTCCGTAATTGCCGCAACCATCATGACTAGTGCTGGTGCTGCTTCCATGTACCATCGATTCAGCCGCCGCGCCTGTCGTTGAGGAGGCGGCCGCTACCATTTACAATTACTGCTCTTGCTGATATTATATTAGTAGCGAATGCTGGCCGAATTATATCCGACCAACAACTTGTTACGCATTCGTCTACTTCTCATTGTGTGTGCTTTTATTCACGTGATTATTTTTCCAGTTGGTCTAGTAATACTAATACGAACAGCAGCAGCGGTAAAAGTATAAACCTCGTTTATCTGTTGGGTTCATCCTGCTAGTTACTGAACTGCTGTAGCAGTTTGGTTTCGTACCATCTGCGTGTCATGTGTATGTGTGTGAATTTCTATCCATTCTTTGCATTGACATTGTTCGTCCCGTTCGTTTCGTGTCGATCAGTCGACCGCCTCCAGTGACCACCAAGCTCTTTGGTCTCGGCCATCGGCTTCTTCAATAACGTCATCCTTTCACAGCCTCCGAACCGTCGCAATTGCAGCAGTTGCTTTCGCGGACGCTGTGCTACCTCTGCTGCTGCAAGTACAACCGCAGCCACGGTTACTTTCCGGTCGTCACAAACGGACGGTGCCAGTGGCGTCCACTGGACGACTGAGTGGCTGGCTGACGTCGTAGAGTATAGCTGTTGAAGGCAGTTGTTCTTATCGAAGGTGTTGTTGGCTTGCTATTTTCCCAGTTCGCCACAACAACAACAGGAGCAGTAGCAGCAACATAAGCATAAGCAGGAGGCGCGATGGAACGATGCAGTAATTTGCCGTTATCGCTGATAGTGTCGTCGAGGTTCGATGATAGATACGCTTTCTATGGACGATGGAGAGAGGTGTTCATCTATACGGTAATAAGCGCCTTGTCCCCTCTGTCTCTCGTTCTCGCTGATGAATGCAGTTCTCACTCTATCAACAGAAACGACCTGAGAGATTGTGGCGACAGTACCAGGTTCCGACCGATCAGCTAGCAAAGACTGCGAGAGAAGAAGCGAACGTTACGGCAATGACGATATGTACCGAGATGACTGAGACGTTTCTATTACAATTATTAATATTGCTATACTCATTCCTATTTATACATGTGTTTCTAGAAAACATATGATTATTATTTCGTATGACTTCGTTCGTATGACTTCGTTCGTATGAGAACTAGATGCGCACGAATGGATAATCTGCATAGCACTCGTGTTAGTTGCGTACTTTGGTCACAGCAAAAGAGATGGCAGACAATGAGATTAGGTGGTAGCTGACAGTTGTGGTCTAACAAGGGCTGAGATAGTTTTGTCGTTCAAGAGGTACGATACGTGGGAGTCACTGTCTTGTTTACATTGAGCCCCTACCGTTTCCGTTGCGTCTCCCCTCAACAAATCAAACTGCCTTGAGTCGAGTTGAGTACTAGGCCGATATGCTATAATGACACCCCTGCCTCGATTTACAGATAAACGGCATAACCAGTTATAGTTCACTCACTACATCATAACTAGTGGTGCCGATGCAGATTTTGCTGTCGTCGGGTCGATTTAGAATCGTCAAGACGTGCATAAAGAACCTATTTAATAGCCTGACAGCATTAGTCAGCGGCAACTACAGTTTGGGGGATAGCGTCAGGTGTTTCAATTGCTAAAATTGAGAAACTAAGCAAACTTAGTGGGGGTAAAATGAGATCTTTTATTGTTAAGAGTAGGAAGATGTCACGTTTTGTGTACTATTTTTTGCTTTTTTTGTGCTCCAGTCGGTTGTAGCTACCTTCTTCATTGGTAACTGGAAAGGTACAACTCTCGGTCTATAACCAGTGGCGAATCCGTCTGTTACAGAAAAGCTACGATAGCTAGTTAGCAGATTCAATTGCTCTCGCCTGTATTAGTTTTTCCAATTACAGACGATAATCATCGTATGTGTTTCATGCGACGATCTGAAATATGGCTGCAGCATACAGCATGGAAGCCGCATTGCATCGACGCTTCACAAAAAAATATAGATGATTTGCATTTGAAGTAATCAGGAATCCCTTTGTACCACACACAACGCAACTACGTACTGTGCATTCTACTTCTTTACTATGTATTCTCAAACGTGTTCGAACGCCGTTCACCTAGCGTGGGCATAGCAGTCGCCATATATCCAACAATAAATAAACATTGTGTATCTTCCATAGCGGATCTGGCTCAAGCAGCCTGACTAGTGAATGAAACTGGGTAAAGCAAGTCGATAATTACGGAGAAGAGGAAGTACGTTCCTTTGTTCATGCTGTTAGTTAGCGCATCTTTCACGGATGACCGAACCACTACCGACCAGAGCTGACAATTGTAGAAGACGCAGCCGTTAACATATTCTCTGCTTTCGTTGTGCGAAAAACTGATCCTCTCTTCGATATGAGTGGATCGGACAGCAGCGGTTCTGATGGCTCCTCCTGGCGTTTAGGAGTCCACCAGCAATCTCCTTCGTCATCGCTTCAGCTGTGCTGCTGCTGCCGCCGCTTCCGTCGACGCATCAATTTAATCAATAACAGCTGCAGCGGCAATGATCACGACGATTACACAGAGGCAACTACGAAAGCGCCCAGATGCTCCTGGTACTCATGCTGCCGCTGCTGCAATCATAACAAAGTGCCATAGTCGGCGCAGGCTGAATCTCTTGAGACGGTGGTGGTAGGCCCGCAGGCAAGCGGACGCCGTCACGAGTGGCAGTCGTAGCAATGGTATCCACAGCAAAAACATAGCCCTGAGGTGACGTCAGGCGCAGGCGGGGGCGTTCGTCGGTTTGTAATATCTCCGTTTTACGTGTGTCAGATGCCAACATCTGGCCGTGACTGGCACGTGATGAAAACAGTAGCTGCAGCGGCAACAAAGTAACAGAACCAGCATAAGGAGAGCGGATGATTGCGAGTTAGAGCCGAGGGTGAAGGGTCAGTTCGGCAATGATACTTTGGCAGTTGTTGTCCTTCTTCGTTTTACGTTATAACAGGGGTATCACTGCTGCTGTTATTGTTGGCTTTCATCAATCTTTTTAAGAGGGTTTGATTAATATTTCTACGTACCGGTGGCACCAGAGAAAAGCCTATTTTATGCGGGCCGAGTGTGGGGTTTAGCTCCGACGGTTGGATTTACTTCTGCTGAAACCTTTACCCACTAAAATTCCTCTAAAATCTCGCTAAAAAAAAAAATAAAATTCCTCTTTTATACTGCACTCCGAGCCAAACTAGAACTATGGGGCAGCTTTGAACTCTGAGCAAGGAAAGAGAGTTCATCACGGAATAGAACAAACCATTGCCAGCGATACTGGCTACGGTCCCTCTCTACTTGCCGATTGGAAAAAGGAAGGCGTATTTATTTTCAAGCAATTTTTGCTTAAAGCTGAGTTGAAAAACCCCTTTATGTAGGCAGTATGAGTGCGGATTGTTTCTAAGTAAGTGTCATAAGTACTACTGTACTTTTAACTGTGCTGATAATAATTTCTGATAGATCTGGAAGTACAATTAGTTTATTGGATCTGTAGCAGTACCTCTATGCAGTGAAATTTTTAAGTCACGTTGGTGTTAAAAGAAACTGCGTTACTCATGTTCAGTAAACCAGCTTGGGGTGCAGCCTAAATCAAAGTTATTAACATGGAAGCATGCACACGCTACTGATGATATACAGACAGCCCTTTGTCGACGTCGAGACGAGATTACTTCAATGGTTTGATTATTGAATTCTACATGATGGCAACAAGCCCAACAGTGCTCCCAGAAAGAAATTGTAAGAAAGGCAAAAAAACAATGTAGTCAATTGTACATCTGTTATTGACTAGATACAAGCAGTCTGTCACTCGAAATTGGTGCTAACATCAACCGCACGTTAATCCACACGTGAATGTGAACCTACACAAACACACACCAACATACTCGGCGACTTTATATCATCAATCAGCCATGCACTCTATGGTTTATAGCGATCGTATGATTAGGCTCAGGCAAAATTTTTGTGTTTCCCTAAAGCAAAAGTGAAAAAAGACCAGGATCGTCGTGAATGTCACGTGCGGCGTGACGCATCGCGTTACTTGCCTGATAGGGTCGCTCGGGTAGAGCTAACGTTATATAGCAGCACATATCCATATAAAGTAAGCTGCTTTTACTAGTCGTTTAGTTAAATCCGTTGTCGTTATATTTCTTATACATACATATATACACACAAAGTGTAAAAGAAACTTTTCGATAAATATATATTTTAAGTTCCTGTAGAATTGCGTAATGACTCCAACTGTCGTCTATAGTTTTGTGTAACTTTTGTAGGCCCTCTGTCGTATATACAAATGTATAGAATGACCTACGATTGCAAAAACCTCAAGACGCTTCTGCAGAAGTCTGCATTGCGTCTGTCGTTAGATGACGCACCGCTATCCGAACAAGTCTGCCAGCATAGACTGTCTAGCAGCGAAAGTTGGTGTCGGGGATTGCTCGAGACAATGCACGTCACTTTGTGAAGTAATAAGCAGATGTGAAACGACTCAATTTTGTTTTGCACTGTTTTTCTCCCCAGACTTATTTCGGTTGCGTGTCTACGTAATTTATGCCGTGGTACTGTATGAGGCCATTGCTATTTCAGCTGTAATGCAGCTAATTGTAGTTTACTTGGCAAATGTGGCTGCTTCTGTTGGGCGAAACGTTGCATAACGTTTATCGGACTTGTCATATTTATTTTAGAAGAGATACACACAGAGACGAGTAAACATGTGCGCCTTTGGTATATCGAGAGTTTCATCCGTATTTTACTGGTGGGAAATATTGCCTTAATGATATAATCGGATAGCTCACTGACTAGATTTTAGAAGAACGGATTCAGTTACTTCTTCTAGAAATACCTCTACACAAATAAATACAGTAATATGGCAGAGTAGATTAATTAAAATACCACTCGGGAAACCACAGGCTTAACTGTTGAGCAGCCAACTTGTTTGAAGGAACGCAACTGTAAGCGTAGCATTTTAGCACCGTCATGCGGCACATGTTTACTAACGCACTTCGGCGTTCAGCTTCGTTCATGGATTATTCTGTTCGACGTATTACTGTGAAAAAAACCGAAGGCAAAGAAAATCGGTAAAGACGGAAATGCTTCACAAATGAGCATTAGGTTACCTACGTATGCAGCACTGAAATGTTTTACGAGAGTTGTGTTCGCAAGTGCGAGGTAATGTTATGTTTTAATTCATCGACAACATGGTATATAAGGTATATAGGGATATATAGGGTAGCACCCAATCCATTCATTAACGAGCGCAGCAATAATAATAAGAATATTTGTAAAATATTATTAGGATTACGATTATCATTCATTGACGTATCTTTTGCATACCTAGTCATGAATCTAGTGAAAGCTAGCGCGTCGTTTCTAAGCGAATCTCCCTAGCATTACTTTTCGTTCGCAGCCATAGCGGCATGGTTGCTATTGTCGACCATCGACGTCGGCTTTAACCGACCGACCGTTTCACGACATCGGTTCGGTTGTTAGCACCGTCCCAATACGCTCTCCGGCATTGCTGCCAGCAGCCGCTCCCGTTGTTATAACGGAGACGGTTGTTATTGCTCGTTCGTTCCTACAGCGAGATCCACTTTCTGCAACGCAGTTGGCGACTGTGTGCTTTCGCAGCAGTGGCTGTTGTGGTAGGAGGTCGTCAGTTATGGCAGCACCGGATTCAGCGATGTCAGCCAAACCAAAAACTTGTTGCTGTCGTTGTGATGGCTGAGGTTGTTGTTCACGTTTACGCCGAGATGTCCACATCGAGATAGGCATGTAGACGTACCAGGCTTATACGCACAAAGCCAGACCTCTAATTGGCATAGACAGACATGGGACACCGGAGCGCGCAATGACAGCCGCAAAATTTGTGCCGTAAGTGTGACGCTCGTTGATGAGGAGCGACGAACGCGAGAGAGAAGCGGGACGGAGTGAGAGCGATACGGCAGAACACGACGAATCGACTAGCGAACAGCTAAAGTGATGATAACAACAACAACCAGGACGTTGTTGCGGCGGTGCCAGCAACCGCAGGCGGTAGTAACCAGAGTGCCGCAGGGGGTGGCTGATGAAGCCGATTCACGCATTCGATAAGCTACCTATATTTATAAAGATGGGGGTTTAAGCATATGTGATGAAGTAGGTGCTAGTAGGAAGCGTGCCATCGGAGAACACAAAACTGGTGAAAATTTCCGTAAAAATAACAATAAAAACATTGGCTGCTCACTGCCACCGCTCGAACCCGCGGGTGATCCTTACAATGCTGCTTGATGTTCTAGACATATCGACATTATTTTCGCCTGGATATGGGATTCGAGTGACTTTGAAAATAACAATAAATTTATCGCTGGTTGGATAGCTAGAGCATGCATGCCACAGTCTGAAGTTGCTGCGGTGTGTCTGCTATGTATTTGCATGGCGCTCGTGAATTGCTGGCTGCTAGCATGAACTACTTTCTCTAAGATGATATTCCTTTTTCGAATGAATGTACGTTATCGTTTACACATTAAAAATACTGCCAACATTGTGAGATATTGAAATTACTAGACTTTCTTCAAAAAACGCCAGCAAGGTTGTTGCAGTGCTTAAAGGGTGCATTCATAGACACGAATATGATCTTTTTCCGAAGCCTTGTTGTATACTTCACATTAGACTGTCAACCAGTTGAGTCAGTTCCACAATAGGTAGCTTAATATATACCGGAGGCAGTTTTTGAAGAGAGAACAGGTTGGGATAGGAGTGACAAGAACTAATGGACGATGGAATTGAACAAAACTGATCGACGAATTGCTTTGTATTAACTGTAACAACATTCTCAACTATTACGATGACACCATCGAGGCATTCATAAAAATCATTCAATGTAATCATGCCTGAAATTGCGCGATTACTTTTACATGGGTTGATGACCAGCCGAGGAGTTCCCGCACTTGACGTATTCTTTCTATAGCGCTTGACGCGTCCAAAGGGGATCTTTATTATTCCTTACATTGCATATCCACAGACATCGATATGAATACATTAAATACCTGTCATCCATCACTAAAGGCAGAAGTTAGAGCTATTTTTTCCTCGGTCGTTTCCTTTGAACCACTAAGCGATTTTTCTGGAAGTGTTTAACCCATACGAGCAACTTGCTTCATGCTAGTACCAACTGTGTTCTCAAATACAAGGAGAATACGATGGTAATCGCTAGTCCGTCAGTATTAGAATTATCTGTCAAATTTTGCATCATTATTCCATTTGGCTACTCAACGCTTTCTTGAGAGGCGGTGTGTATACTGTAGTGTAATCCAGTCAAGCCAAGCGGGTGTATCCATCGAGCGGTTGAGTAGGCAATCCTGCCGTCGATCTAAGCGAGCTCTCTACATGGAGTTTTTACGAGGAAATGTTTTACCTGAGGATTTTTTTAAACGTGTACGTTTTTGTAAGCTAACAAATCTCTGGATTTGTTGCTGGAAAAGCAAGCACCGATGCGCTGCGCATGCATGATGTCTCGCACGTAATCCCACGCCTTTCGACGAATCCAAAACACATAGCCTACAAACCGGTATAGCTGCATCCAGCTGGAGCCAAATGCTATCTGTCTCGTCCATGAAAGTCCGGGAGAGTGCAAATGGGTCAGAAATGATAAGCTATAACGTAAACTTTATTATGCGTATTTCGATTAATTTCAGGTGCTGAGGGTCCCTTTTGCATGTATTTCTGGCGTAACGTATATGTACAAGCACATATAAAGCGTAAACTACCAATAGAATAAAGTTCCTGGCGAAATGACTTAATATCTCTAAATCACTGAGTGCTTAGCACAATCCTCAATCAGAAAGGGGCGAGATGTCATGCTGGTTTTCTCTATTCGCACGTCAAAACTTATTGCGAACAGAAATTCCCAAATGAAAAACTGACTCTTCGCAGACGTATTTTGACATGGTGCTTGCCCACAAGCAAGTACTGCATTAGCTTACTTGATAATCGCCGTCATTGTCACCCATTCATGATTACTTACTATTCCCTAATACTATTAGCATGTCGGTCATTAGCGTATTATCATCGCGGTCGCACATTCAAATACTGCTCATGATACTACAGTTTCCGTAATCTAACATCATTTGGTTACACCCGTACGCTTAAGCACAATAAGATGTATTAGTAATACCCATAGTGAGCCGCAGGAATATATGTACGTATCATACAAATCTTAAAACGTATGTATGCATTGCGATTCAATAATTATTTATATTATTACCAATATTATGATTTTCTATAGCGACTACCTCTTCAAACTGCTTCTGATCGGTGACTCCGGAGTCGGCAAGTCATGTCTATTACTTCGTTTCGCCGATGACACCTATACAGAATCGTACATTTCAACAATTGGAGTGGATTTCGTAAGTGTCGAAATGTTCATGTTTACCTATAAGTCAATATAAGAACGTTTAATAATATAAGACTGATGTGCGAATGAGGCATAATAACACAGTAATGCGGGTAATCACATACTTAGAAAAAATTGCGACTGTTTTTGGCTTATCTCAGTTTCTATTACCATTATATACACATGATCAAAGGTAAAGATGACCATATATATGCAAATCTTATCTATGTAAAACGACTAGAAAATAGGTCACATATTTCGCCTGGCTCGAAAAATTCACTTCAAAAGTGAGTTACCTCTATTCGTGAAAATAATGAAGGAAATAATTATTGTGTTATAATGGTGATTGCTTTGCTGTTTTTCTCCAGAAAATTCGAACCATTGAGCTTGATGGTAAGGTCATCAAGCTACAAATCTGGGACACAGCTGGTCAGGAACGGTTCCGTACAATCACCTCGTCGTATTATCGTGGAGCACATGGGATTATTGTTGCGTACGACGTAACTGACCAGGAATCGTTCAACAACGTCAAACAGTGGCTTCAGGAGATTGATCGCTATGCCTGCGAGAACGTAAATAAGCTTCTTGTCGGAAATAAATGCGACCTCACCACAAAAAAGGTGAGAAACCTTTAAGCATTATACAAGGAGCCCGAAAACATTTAGTTTACTAACAATAAGATAATTGGTAATCGATTCTTTTACATCAACACATCAATTTGTGTATGACAGTTTTTTTCTAATATTTACGCTTGCAGAGATTCACTGTTCTATATGCGGCCAGTCACGTGAATCAGGGTTAACGAGCGCTGTATGGCCTTTCATACTTGGGAATATTAGGCGTGCCTCAGCTGCTTGTTGTACAGCGCGCCTTTGACAATCCTAGCGTTAAGCTATTATTAGGAACGAGATAATAGTTTGCGTATCAGGCTTTAGTTTAAACATCAATATGACAATCATCATCATCACCATCGGATTTAATTAGATTTTAGTGAGACGGTAATGCGGCACTCAGGCACCAGTAATGCAATATGATATCAATTCAGTTCTCAGACTGGGCCGTAGCAAATCCTGTAAGATATGACTAGCGCCCACAAATAATGTCATCCCGGGGAAAAACGTTTTGTCACTGTTCGCCTATCCACAAATCTGAGATAACAAACGAACTATTGTTTTCGTCCTGCACCGCTTAACCATATCGTCGCAGGAACGTCCACAGTTCTCAAGAGCTCTGAGCATGATTAAGTACTCGATTTAGAGTATTCAAATAAATTCGAACATTTTTTGTTCAATGTCTAGAAACGGGCCCTATAATGCTATAACGTTAATGTTACTTATGGTAATATGGACGGTTACGTCAGCAAGAACTAGGCTAATGTAGCAAATGCAACTTTTTTTATTTTATACTGATTGACCTTCATCAATTCGATGGCACAGGTTGTCGACCACTCGACCGCGGCCGAATTCGCCAAGCAGCTTGATATCCCATTTCTCGAAACGTCAGCCAAGGACTCAACCAACGTTGAGCAGGCATTCAAGAAGATGGCCGAGGACATCATGGCTCGCATGGGTCCCGCCAGCAGCGAGCAAATGCGAGCCGCTGGTGAAGGAAGGATCAACCCGTCAACGCCCGTCAAACCAAACCAGGGCGGCGGATGTTGTTAAGATGGTATCCCAAGGTGCTCTATCGATTTAGGAATTGCGCAAATATGTTTTCTTCGCCGCTGCAGAGAAAGACAACAACAGCAACAATATACAAAAAAAGACAACAACAATAAAAATACCAAGAAAAATCCCCATCAGCTATCTCTTCTGCCGCTGCTATAACTACTATTACAAGAATGACAACAAATTAAGACGATGTAACGTAACGAGATCGGAGGTAACCACGTCAGCTCAGAGACTCAGATAAAAAAAAAAAATAGGAGAAACCAATTATTGCTGACTATACCTGTGTCTGTAGAGGAGAAAAGGTTGTTGCGCGTCAATCTGTGCAATTGTCCCGCCGTAACACGTCCCGTCGTGCGGCTGTCTCTGGTATGGCCGACTCGAAGGTTGGGCTCGTTTGTTTGCCAGTGTCGCCGCTATTATTACAGTTACTATTAGACTAAGAATACGAACTAATCATTCATCAAGCAGCCAGCAGTAAACAGTAGACAGCCAACTTCGCTCACCAGTTACCCACACCATTTGTACTTGTTCTATACCTGTCGCAAGTAACAGTAGTAATAATAAGAATAATTCTAAAATAAGTAATTATAATAAAGAAAAACAACAGAAGTAAATGAACCGACTCAGCACCGAGCATCATCCCGTTTCGTGGTGAAATATATTGCAGGAGTATGAACAACGTTCATAGGCGAAGAGATTCTTATAAATACTAAATATACATATATAATCCACATACGGTCGATATAACAATCAGAAACGAGTGTAAGGTGGAGAGAGGAAAAGGAGCGGTTAAGCACAGGAGAGCGAGAGCAAAAAATCATCGAGAGTTTTCAAGTTATAGACACTGATGTGAGTGTAGGTGAAGACTATATATATATATATATATATATATATATATAATGTTACACTTACCACTTCATTATTTGATTATCCGTTGATAAGAGCTAACAGTGTCAAGTGACAAAGAAATTTCTGTGCTAAAGACAAACGAGTTCAAATAGGCAAAAAACACGTTGTTTAATGGCGTTGGCCTTTAAGCGGATGTGTGCCCTATTTCTATTACAGAAAGAAAGAAGCGATACAGTAATTTGTACCTTCCCGTAAAACACTGACACAAGTACATGCACGCACGGGTATCCATGGTTAATCGCAATTCTTTGCTTTTTTACAATATTGCCCTCAGTCGAACCAGATCACCCTACAAGTCGATGAATATGTCCTAATATCCTTCTACATGAATACGTTCAAGCAAAGAAGTATAACGTTGTCGCTGCTTGTCTGTGTACTCGACTGTTTATCCCTTCCAGCTACTGCTACTAATGGTTATTCAATTGCGTCATGTTGTCATCAAAATGTTAATCGTAGGCATGTGATGCTCATTCTGAAATCTTTACGAATTCCTTCCTATTGAAAGAAGTGACTAGCGAAAACGCATGGAGTGCTTATGGTAGACGGCACATGCATACCCATACCCATAAATAGAGTGGCGGCGATTCTGGAAGCGGCTCAACGATAGCAGTAAAAATAATTAAAATAAACGCAGTAGAATCGCAGTCAGTTGGCCAAGGCAATTTCTAATAGGCAGGCAAATCCATGAAATAAGGTGAAGTCTGTTCACGGACAATGAAACCTCCTGTGCGTCTGCATTGAAAACCTTTTCCACCACTTCGCTTCCTGCTTGGCGATTAGCACCGTACCGGTGATGTTTGCGTTTCCTGCCATAAGATGGTATGATTGAGATGAACTTTGACGTGAAGTTTTTGTAGGGATTTTTTTTGGAAGTTTTAGGAAATCGTGTGGTAAATAGTTATTGCCAATCATTGAGCAGTTGCACGGATATATCGGTGGTGGATGATTTTTCGGTGGCGCAGTCGCGATAAGTGTTGAGCGAAGCTGCATATTAATAGATTTAGATAAATTAATGAGAGACATAGCACAGTACATGAACACACACGCGCACAAACACACAACCCGGCAAAACGTACGAGAACTGCAGCGGCGAATAATGATCGTTTGCGGAAAAACGAAGAAGTGAATAGGTTTACGATATGTGGCGGTGGCTTGATCAACTTAGCCTGCTATAGGACCGCGGGCAATTTGGCTGCTGACACGTTTCGCGCGTTCTGCTACTAGGGCCAATGAAGTGCCACACAAGACAGTCGAAGCGTGAAATATGAGGTCTTGAGTTCTGAGCTGCTGCGGACTACAGTTTTATAGACAAGCTACGTTACGTGCTAAAGACAGCAATGACGACAACCCTGGCAACAGCAACTAATGAAAGAAAAAATATCACATGAACCATATAGACCCATATATAAATGCAACGGGAAAAGTCCGAACGAGCGAAAATAACACACATGGGTAAGCGAGAAAGTAGAAAGGGGCGCGAGTACGAGACATAGCGAGAAAGAAAGATGAGGATAAAAGATATATATATATATATACATAGTGGTAATAATTATGATAATAAAATAAGCTTGATGAAACTGATGAGATGGTGGAGATATAATTATGAGATAAAAGCGCGATGAAAAATAGGCAGATTATAATGGTGATTATGGTGGTAACTGACCAATATCTCTTTATATATATATATATATATATATATATAGGCGTGGTGAGAAGGCGAGGATGGTGAGACAGGAATAAAAGGAAATGATGAAAAGCTGATGCTAACACTGGCATACCATAAGGACAGGAAATACTGATAATAAAGGAATGATGTGGAGGTATAAGGTGTACTAGGATAGCAGAAAAAATCACACGCGAAAGCGAAAGTTCGTAGAAATAAAAATAATCAACGAAGACGAGAAATTTATCAAACGCAGTGGATACAAGCGGTGTGTAGTGATCGAGATTAATTATAACAACACAAATAATGATAATATAAAAACAACGACAGCAAAAAAAAAAAGAAAAAAGGTAAACTACGAGAAAACGATTTCCAGAGAAAATTCGCATCGTGTATATGTAATTAATGCTATCACTAATAATCAAATGGTAGGAGCGCTATGGTAACATCATCGGTGCTATTTTTGCCGACGATAATAGCAGCCAGACAAAAGTTGAAGATCGTTGTGCACACACAGACGTAGAAAATACAGACCGAAAAAAAGAAGTGAGAAGAGAAGCCGAGATCCAAAATGGATTAAAATGACGGATTTCGATTTATTGATCGACTTGATGCCGGTGGCCTAATGCCCTGCAATGCATCGGAATGAAATGAATGCAAGAAGAAGTTAATGAGGGAGCGGAGGCTCCTCGATGGTAATTGAGGACAACACGACCATAATGGTGACCATCTGAGCAGATGTGCATGATGACGAGGTTGATAAGAGAAACGATATGATGATAATTAAAACTGACAACAACAAATAAATTAACACCACATTCTAAGTTATGCATCATTTTTGAAACTCAAGCGTCTTTATTTCCATATATATATATATATATATATATATATATATATATAGTAGCGCGTTTACACTGAAAGAAACTCTGACGAGCTGATCGTCATAACGAGCATGTCGTCATTCGCTGTTTCTGATATCAGTTGAAAGTCAGTTTTTTTTTCTAAAACAAAACAAACTCATCATGACCAACAGAAATATGTCGTTTTTGGGATTCAGGCTAAAATTAGCTATTATCTAATATTTCCGTACTAATTAAAACCCTAGAAAACTTTTTTCTCCCGAATTTTTTTCCAGTTTTCGTGTGGCTCTTAAAAAATCAGAGAAAGACTCTCATAAAGCAAGCCAGAAATAGGGTCCTCAATGGGGCTGAGATTTAAAGGGTTCAAAAATTAGTCTAAATGGCTCAAAGAACTAATTTTGATATACCGGTCGAGTTTCAGAGTGGGAAGTATCAATTTCTGGTTCAGATAAACTCCAACGGTTAATTTTTTTGAGGCTTTTTGCTCCTTTTATACATTCTGGCTGTTTTAAGCCCCTATATTTTTAAAGCTTAAGGAGTTTAACTTTGCTGGAATTTGCAAATAACGTATTTGGGCGACGCTTTACCGAGGTTACATCAACTAATATCGCATGACGCGCGATTGATGTTAAACAATTATTTACAGAATAAAGAAAGAATATTTTGGAAATGAATAATTGGTAATGTCATTGGTAATGTAACCAAGCCGTAGTCTCGGTCGACGGTGGTTATGTTTAATAAGCACGACCAGACTACGCTTTTAGCACATGGCGAAAATTTTAGTACATGTATTGTTTAGATACAGTCTCAAAAACAATATGCGAAAAAATTTCACTATTAATGTGCTGCCCTGTATATATATATATAATACATAGCCCACTATAATCAAGTCAGACTTCCAACGAGTCACTCATTCCAAGCTTTGGCCATACTTAGGTGTCGGTAAAGGATTGCTGAAATTGACTCAAAACCTAATAAATAATCATATTTTTTGTGTATCGAATTCAATAAATTGCATATTCAGTAAATTGTATCTATAAACATTTATGCAGATAATGTAAAAAGCTCTAAGCAGGAACCGAGAAACACGGTGCCTGCTAGTCGTTGAAAAACACCCTGGACAGCTTTTAAAAGACTTGAAGTTGTATCTTTCATATATATATGCGGGGTATACAACTGTCCATATAATCGTCTGCTTAGAGTCTATTTCGACGCAGTCTTCAATCCAACAATATAATAGCGTTGCTAATTAAGAATATATATACGTCGAACTGCATACTGTATGTAAGATATTGTTGAATACTTGACATATTAAGTATTATTTGTTCAGTTGACAATAAGATTTTCCTATTATTGAAAATTGATTGTTCATTAATATTACTAAAATCAGATCGGTTTCAGTTCGAGAAAAATTGTTAAGTTCAACTGAAGCATTAAATTCAATTTTGATTTAGAAATTAGAATTTAAGTAAATGCAACAATGAAAATATATAAACTTCAGTGATGGAGTTGCTTGATAAACATTTAGATATTTCATTTAATGCTCAAAAAGTAAACATGGCGAATAAAAATTTATTATCACTTGGTTTATTACGACTAGATATTTTATTCAACTGATTCGTGGTAGATATAAAAGAAGCACGTAGATTTTCGCCTGGACGCGTATATCCTCCTCATTTTAACCAAAGCTGAGTCTTACATTATTAAATATTTTCCGAAGTAGCTTCAGCTAAATCATTTCTTTGTTATACATTGAGCTCTATCACTTCTTCCAAGGCTGACTTCGGGTCTTGTAACACTTTCTAGAAATATCTAACATGCCTATTTTGCCATATTTACATATATGAAAATATTGAATACGCAGAATTATGTTTCGCGTACACATTTGACGATTTTATTTTCGTACCTTTCATAAATAAGTACTTCTCAAAATTAGAGGAGTTACTTATGCTGTTATAGCTAATATTATTATTGAGCGCGAACTGCTGGAGGTTTTGGATCGCTTTGAGTTTAAAACGATCAGACCTGTTTTAACTCATTCCACCTTTATGATATATCCTCGGTAAACACTTTTCTTTAGTTATAGAAATATATTACTAGCGGTTGGTGGAAGGTTAAATGGTCATTAACAAATGAGAATTATTAATAATAGATTTCTTAACACGACTTCACTCGCACACACACACGCACAAATCATCGGAAAAGTGTTCTGACTTAAACCCCAGCGATCCAAAAGCACTCCTCTGTAATTTCAGCTCACTCACTGTCGATCGGATAAACAACTATTGTACCTTCCAAACAAAAGACACCCACACTCAACGTTTTGTTTTTTGCTAGAACGAAACCCTCCTTAGCGCCAATGCTACAATCACATTCGGCTGTGCGCATTGAGAAAAGCAAATGCTTTACAACGTTACGTCGATACCGTCTGATCGTCACAGTAAAGCGCACATCCTGGGCATATGGTACATATATATTCCTTTCCTTTTTCCAGACAAGCTACATTCGGCTCGTACATCTGAGGCGCTTCCTCTACGGCCATATTCAAACGCTTTCTTTTGCAACAGCGAAGTTCATAATAATATAATGTATAGATTGTTTTATTTTGTGTCTTCACCGTTCTTCTATATCTCAGTACAAAATGTTTATGTGAATAGTACTATTATTATTACTTCGTTCTCTATGCTGTAATCAAGAAATCACAGGTGCTACGGCCGACCAACAGTTCAATTGGTGCTAAAATATTTTTCAACCAGTTGGTATGCCAAGCAAATCTTCGCCCTCCTTTTCCCATTAATCTTGTCCAAATGGCAAATGTACAATACACACATTCACACCGGCCGTACAACCTATCGTCAGATACAGTTTGGCTTAGATTTAGGACTTTATTGGCCATCCTCAAGCTTTACGTGGCCTAGTCTCGAAACAAAAAATCTCTTAATGTGCTAATGCGCGCATTTATAGGAATACGGTATTGATGACACGTTAGATCTCGAACCTTTCTATGATTGAGTTCTTCCAAAATCGCTTCTGCAGAAACAGAATTGTTAAAGGTCTTGTATGCACGGCGCGATATATATCAGCTTCTCTAACGTTATTCGATAAAGTGATGTGTCCAATTTAAATCCCACAAATCTCTATAACGTCGTGGTCGCGTAACAAAAAGCGACAGTCTTCTTTCCACATTGATTAAAATATATATTTATCACATTCGAACCTAACAGTCCAACCCCATTGTTTTCAATAGTCTCGAAAGTAGTTTCATTTTCCTTTAAATTTTGACACGCATCCTGCATGTTTTAATCAAGGCATCACTTTGCCACAACACTGTCTCCGCTAGAAAACAATGTTGTACAAAAGGTGGGCAGCGAACTAATGAACAAAAACTTAACAAAGAACAAATTGCCAAATATAAATTACTATAATATATACACATTGGTAACGCAACGAAAACATAATAAATTAAAACCTTTATCCGTTGGCTTCGCGTACTTAACGCTCCGAAGAGGGTATCTCGGCAAACGATAGAGGTTCAAATTTTGTTCGTTTTTCCTACTGGCAAAATATTTTTTTACATAGACTTATCTTTTTGCCCCATATTTACTAGTATTTTTTTCACCCACAATAACTTGTATGGGCCTCTCGATATGATAGCAGCAGCTGCTCCTTCTGAAATCCTTATAAGAACATATTAAAAATATATTCACGCTAAGCAACAACTTCTGGTATATATATGTTGGTCGACTTTTCTAAAGCCTTCGCTATAAAGATCAACCGAGCACATCTTTATGACGAAAAAAATGCCGGTAAAAAATTGAAGGAATCAACAAAAAGTAGTAATAAAATGTCATCCGATCGATTTGCCGCTGTTCGAAACACTGTCACTAACTTGTCAAGTCTACATTGAGCTCGAACGTTATAGGCTTCGTAAAGCCAAGATACCGGGCACTTAGGGAATCACTACTGCGACATTAAAAATACCCTATCGAACTCTAATTTTCCATTGCCTCTAAATCGTTCATCATGCTAGGACAGCGGTCTCTATCAAATCTGGCCAATTTTAGAAATTAGACGGAAACTTAAACCAGCGACTCACAATAGCAACATAAATTCTTTTTCTTATCACCCAAGTTTTGATCAAGTACCGTTCACATTATTATACACACATTTCACCCATTCATAGCTCCGTCTCGAAGCTCCGCTTGATTCCCCACTTGACACGAGCGCGACGATCACGTCAACTTATAGCTCCACTTACAAAATAATGTCTTTTCGAAGCCACTCGACTGCCTGTATTTTGGACGTCTACAAACTGCATATTATTTTACGATATAGCAAGTCTTGGGTTGGAGCATCAGCACATGCATACGTCGTCTTCAGCCGCATTTGCATCACGCGTTACCTGAAACAAATTGCTCTATTTCGAGTTTAAATAATACAACAGGCCCACAACCCTCTGAAAGGTGCAAGAGTGTGACAGTGGTGCGTGCTCTAAATGGGACTACTATTATTAGAAACTACAGACTCGTGGGGCGAGTACAATTTGTTCGTTATATCTGTTTGTTTTCAGATAGGAGTTTGATTATCGTATGTGCGTCACTGCTATCGTTGCCGACCTCGGCGTATGTTCTTGAAAATTAACATGAATTTGAGTGGGTCCCACGCTTTTAGGAACACGGGAAAAAATGGTGCTCTTTCTTCATGCGATCTCACACAACTGTTTGCTTGCACGCTTGTTTTATGTTTATATTTCTATATCAGTATATATATGCCACGCCTCGAGATATCGTTTCCGCTAAGATTGAACGTAACTCGCTAAAGTTTAGAAAATAAATGTGGTTTCATAGCTTAAAGGAATGAGCGCTGGTGCAGTATACAATCGTGAACTATCTTAAGATAGAGCGTCAGAACTGTGGAGAGTTCACTGTCTTATATGCATATTACTAATTTGTTTAATTCTACGCAAAAATGTGTGCCCTCTACCACTTAATTCAATGTTTGCATGGCCTGATTTAATTCTTTGCTTATTTATACGCGACGTGTGTACGTACCTGTGTGTTAAAGAGGCGGAAATAGATTCCGATAGATAGCTAAAAAAATGCTTTTGCCGTTTTGATGAAACAAACAACTAACACCGACTTTGCTGGAAACGGTACCCTATATGCAAGAGTCTCAGAGATAAGGCCTATAGTGCTCGTTCTTCTAACAGATATTTGTTGTTTACAATTAACCTATAGGCAATTTTTTTAGGATTAATGCTCTCTTACCTTAAACGCGTCTCTATATAGAGCTTCGTCGAGGTCCCTAACTCGAACACCGTGTACTAGATGCTTCGCGATATCCTCAAACATTTCTTCCACACCTTGGCCCGTTTTACACGAAGTCCGGTACACTCCAGAAACCATATTGCGGCATTGTTCGCAGAATGCCTCAATGTCTGCGTCTGTTACCAGCTGAAAATTTAACAGAATCTAATAGAATAACATTGCAGCCAGCTTCCTGGGTACTCTCTATTTAATATAGAATATCCACACGGCATGTTCTTAATTCACTGACTTCAACATTACGAAACAGCACGCATATAAACCTAAGCAACAGAAGTAGTTCCGCCTTAACTAACACAGCTGGTTATCTTTAAAACTAAAAGATAAAAAAAATATAAAGAGCATCAACAAGCTTTACCAGAAAAAAAGAGCACTAAAAGTTATAACAAGAAACTCTAAAAATCTATATATATATATATATATATATAAGTCATAAGCTTGGCATCAGCAAATGAAATACTCATTGCGTTTTAAAACGTCATTAAATAAGAAATTACATTTCAGTAATGATACATGCTATCAGTGAAGATGATCCGGACTGAACAATTTACTTTTGTGAATGATATCCGGAAAACTGTGAACTGTAAAATTTGTTTGGAGTGATGAAGGCACATTTAAAGTAAATGGCACAATTAATCAACATAATTGCATTTAGTGGGCAACTCTAAATTCACGGGAACGTCATGTAAATTAATCAAGAGTTACAGTGTGATACGGCGTTTCAATGAATGGACTCTTTGGCCCTTTTTTTTTGACAAAACAAGAACTGCTAACTGTAATAATCTATCTTACGGACTTCGAAGACGGCGAATTTAATTTCCAACAGGACGGAGCGCCTGCACGTTATTATCGTGATGTAAGAGCATATATACGTAATGAGTTGATAAAGACTACAAACAGATGGGTTGGACGAAGATGTCTCAGAAAATTGTCTGCTTTTTGGACTCTGTACCAACGGACTTTTCCTGTATGGATGTTTCAAAGATAAAGTCTACGCCAGAAAACTGATGATACTTGAAGCTTCAAAAGACGCCATTGAGCAAGACTGCGCCACAACACCAAATTAAATGTTTGTTGAAGTTTGTGAACCGATAACCCGTCATTACCAGCAATATATTGACTGTAACGGTAATGGTTTCAAACATTTGCGATAGAAGAACCTATATATTTCATAATATTATGTTATTTACATGTAAATCGAAAACTAAAGTCAAACCGTATATACATTTTTGCGACACGCTATATGTGTAGAAGTATGTACCTGACTATGGCTGATATCAGTCTTGTTGCCACAGAGGAAAATCTTGGCATTTTCCGCGTAGCTAACGATATCTAACAAATGTTGAGAAAGAATATTAAAGGAGTCTGGAGAATCGAAAGAGAATACAAGGATGGCTGCTTCAGCGAATTTATAATATGACGATGTGATCGAAGCCACTCGCTCCATGCCGCCAGTGTCCCACAGTTGTAACTGTAATCAATACATTACAACAATGTAATATTATTACAGATGAAGTCAGGTGAAGGTGCTATAATCATTGAGAGCTGGACTTATAACCTCTCAGTCGTGATGTTCACAGCCGTCCAGGACCTTATTCAAGTACTAATAATGTACCACTAGTGTTGCTAACGAAAAAAAAAATAGTTTTCTTTACCCACGCCATTTGTATAATGGAGGTACGACCTAGCAGGGCCTGGCAGGAATGTAATAGTCTATAAAAAACCAAAATGGAATTGTGCTGTTTCACCTTAATCTCCCTTCCAGTGACCTTGTAAACTTTGTCAAAATGGTCTAGACCAAGGGTAGAGGCGCGGTCCGAGGACGCAACAAACGAGTTCTGTGCGAATCTCCTGAACAGCGAGGATTTCCCCACACCGTATTCGCCGCAAAGAATCACCTGGGGAAGGCATAAACGGAACATGGCTGTCGAAATACAATGACGAGGTAATCAAACAATGCGTGTCGGTCGGCTTCTCAACCGAAAAGTAAACTCACAGTTGGATATCTTCTATGTTTTATATGAGCGTAACTCAACTCATTTGTATAGAAAGAAACAAAGAATGAACTGATGTCATGTGAATATTTTTTTTTAACAGATATGGAAAAATTGCGATACTATGCAAATGAAATCGATAAATAGGCATGAAACGATTTTTGACCAGGAAAGTAGTGAACTAATTTCATATACGTAAGAAAAACATATACTTACTTTCTGCTCGGGGATCCGCGTACTAGCCATGTTAACTTGGTTCCTTAATTGTTAATCTCACAACGTGTATAATAACTGTTGATTTGCAAAAATTGATTTGTCTATGGTAAGCATGTGCGGATGGGAATTATTTTTTCTCTCTTTATCGAGCATAGATGATGTGGATGTACCACCTGGTAGTTTTATTATTACTGCTATAAGTAGTATAAGTTTTTTATATACACCTAAAGCTATCCGACGGACACAGAGTGGCAGCAATCTGAAACCAGCAGAGAAACGGAATATACTATAACATTCTTTGCTGTTTTGTTGGCTAAGCTAAAATGCTGATTTTTTAACAGCGACGGAATGTCCGAAATTGGTTCGACGAAAAAATAGTCGAACTAAATTCAAATTGCTCGAAGATGAAATTAACCACGGAGAATACCACATTACCATCCGCAGCAATAAATGATTTGCATTTTTGCCCCGAATTATCCTGCAACGTACTAAATTGCATGCCACCAGTTTACACGTCAGGGCCATAAGCAACAACACCAGCGCGGACCGAAAGTGCTTCCCTGAAGACAGGATATCAACTATGCAACACCTTGGTCCCGCTCATGGTTAGACAGCCTAAAAAAATAACCACAAATTATCGATGTATTTTCACATGGCTATATTTTAGGTATACGCGTCCGGGTACGTTTCCTTAATAATATGCATTGTGTACTGTGATTACGTGATGAAGGTTATACGACAGCCATCAAAGCGCTTTTGCAAAATGTCACCCTAGCGCTGAGTCATGAGGGGGATTAACACTGCGATGGACACGTATGCCTGGGCATTGCTGGCTGGGCAAATTGGTGTGACTTACCTCGGGTTGGAAGTTTCTGGCAATAATAAAGTAACTGTTGAACACCATTAGTGGCAAATTACATATGGCAAATAAAGGCAAAACGTGCGTGAGTCTGCTACTTTTCTCACAGAATTATCTCATAAAATTACAGTTATATCGAACTACAGCCGTAATATATGACATATGATCTACTGGCCATTTCGTCCGTAAAAGGAAATGAAGGCATAACCCTGTTCTGAGTTCATGTAAAAGTTTCATTATGAAGTCATGGATCACTTGACGACGTTAGCCGTCACTACTTAAATGTAGAACAAGGATGTCTGTATGCCGTCAACCACTGAACTATCGTGAAAACAGCAAGTTCACAAGGCCCAATAAAGATACTTTACAAGAAATGCGCTTGCAAAGTTCTCTCTAAACTGTGTCTGTATATGATTCGAATCTTCGAAAAAAATCTCAGTAAAAATCAAATATTTCTTATCAAATATTATTTAAAAAAGCTCAATAAGTATCATAGTAGGTGCACCCGTGGTTGTAAAGTTTATCCCACAAAGGCTTCGGCCGACGAAATGGTAAGTTTATATAATCATACAATCAACCGATAACCCGCAGTTATCATGAAAACCGCCGGCTTCGGGTACTGTCACAAGAAACTCTTTCCAGATTGGGTGTTATATTGCTATAAACCGTTGGCCTTTAATGTCGATGGTGTTTGCGAGGAAGCAGCCGAACACCGATAAGACAGTCAAAAAGGTACCAGAAGCATCAAATAATTGTAAACTGAAAGAAGCATGTACCTAATCACCTCTAGTGTCTTTAATTCAATTTTAACAAATTCCACTGGCTCATCTACATATCCAGACTAAATATCTTGCCTCAGCTTTCTTCTCTTATTTTATGTCCGCACATTAATTTTGACCAAACGAACCAATTAACACTTCTGTTAAACCTACTCGTTCTTATCGATCGATAGAACTGAAGGCAGACAAAGTTATCTCGTACAGCTGCTCACGACGTACAACGTCAGCTTAACGCAGAATGTGGCTTTTTCACTAATTTTTAGCAACAGCAATAACATCTGCGCATGACGGTGACGGGTGATCATAAGCGGGAATAAACTGTTAGTTCTCCCTTCAAATCCATGATGTCCGCTTGTATGCGAACATAACAGCCTGATAATCACTTTAAACACCTGAGCGAAGAGAAGTGTAAAAAATCTTTTTAATAGTTAGAGGGACGATCTATTTGGCTATCTAGGAAGGTGAAGCTTTTCCTCCCGCTGAAGGTATAGTATTACTGCACAACGCCACGATAGTATTAGTATGCATAACGACTCGAGCGAAGTAACTATTGAAGTACTGGATATTTGAAGGAAGAAGCGGAATTTTGTGTGATTTTAGTAAAAACCTATCAATTTCCCCATTCGTAAACGAACATTTTGCAGAGCTGCTTCAGACTTCGCCTTCACTTGCCAACAACAAAGTTAACGCCACGCGAATACACAAACTAATAAAAGCCGCGTCTGACATTGGTTCTCAAACGTTGCTGCTATCTGTTTTGGATTGGAGATCGCTAATGCAACCCAACTTGGATTCCCCAAATGCAGCGGAATCTGCGGGTGCAAATTAGCAATTATTAGCTTCTAGGCGTATTTTTCAGTCTCACTGAAGTGTTCCGACTCTTACTAAATTTGTAGCTGGCACTCGCAAAACCCCGGAAACCGACGCAGTTTGCTTTCATCCCACATTGGCATTTGCCGATCTGGTGCTACCTTGTCGCGCTCCTTCTTCTGTAGCTTTGCCAGAAATAGTTCAACGAGTTTCCTACAGGCTTCCCCTGCCGCTCTTCCGAACGCCAGATGACAAGAAAGCCGAAGGTCAGTCACGCACACGAAAAAGAACAGACCACCATCTACATACGACACAGTTAAGACATCATTACTCCTGACAAAGAAGCGACTGCATCCAGCAGGGACGGTAATCCAGAGACATAAACGCAGCTATCTAACCGATCAAGTGGACCCTTAGAAACACGCACAGAGAACTAGAAAGCTGTTGTCTTTCCATCAAGACAACAACACAAACATCACCATCAAAACATCGTCTGCCTCGATTGTGGAATCCAACGCTACTGCGTCTATGAGGTTCGAAGGAGCGGCAAACCTGGGCACAGGCGAAACTCAATTTATTCGCTCCAAGGTATTTTGAAGTCCGTCTTTTTGTTTAGTAAGAAACAGCTATTGTTTCTTCTGTTCCATGACAGCATTTCGCACCAATCTTTTTTTAAGCACGACCCATGGTTTCATATCAATAGGGTTTTGTTCTCGTACCGGTAGCGCTGTACTCCGCCACGGTTAAAAAATCAGTATGATTCTTTGTTTTTTCGTAGTATTTTGTCGCACAATTTGTTCAAAATTTGAACACCCTGTTGTTATATTTCAGACAACCTGGCCAAACACCTATACCTGTTACACTACTGCAACAACCTAATGGGGCTCATTTCACCTGGCGCTTTCCATGACTATGAGTTGAGGGACATGTCGGTGACTACATCTGATTATTAAAATAATATATCAGACAGCCAGCTACTGTGCTATTGTTTTTACTGTAATAGGCAAACGTAAAGACTATACTAGCTGAGAATCTTAAAAAAGGGTTCCAACATAATTTGTGCACCTGCAGTGTGTTGTTGTATTGTTGAGGAACGATTGTGAATTGAGATGAAAAAGACAGCGCAGATTTATAAACGGGGTCTATTGTATCATAAAAAAGAGCCTATTGAAAACAATTAGGTTAGATTATGAGTATATATGACTTAACGAAAGATGTGCGTTCACACCAAATAGGTTCACACAAAATTGTTGTACATCTTGACCTGTAAACGTAGAGATAAGTGAAATGAAGACGCGTCGATTTAAACGACTTACGTGTTGCCAAAGGAAGAAGGTATATTTACGCAAATCTTAATACACAAGACGAGTAAAATTTATATATATATATATATATGGATTTCCAGAGACTCGACAGATTAAAAAAATTATTAGCTTTGTCTAATGCACAAAAATTTATCTTTTAAAACTTAATATTTGTTTTTATGTTTAAAAACTCTCCATTCTTGTTTTACAACTGTTCACATTTGCAGACAATACTGTCGAAACAAATTCATCTTCTTAGCATATCAAGCTCCAAAGTGAGGAAGTTACCAATCAGAAAAGCATTCGTCAACTATTATTGATGAAAAGAAGAAAAATCCCTAAATTTGTAGTACGCGTATAATACAAGTCGTTATCACACAACAAGCAAGGCTCAGCAAGCCTATTGCTGTTGTGTGGGATGTTCTAACCGCTGAAACGGGAGTGCCTAGTGAGATTTATACCACACGGTACCACATAGTTGGAAACCCGCTTATTTGAATTATTGAGATGTCAATCTCTTATTCCTATATTCCTAAAACAAAATTGCTCTTTTTTTGTTTTAAACTACTTATAGTAATTTTTGGTTTTTGACGAAGAGACTTAAGTTGCTTCTGTCCCAAAAACGATATTTTTTAAAAATATCGTTTTCGAGACATTTTTTAAAGAGTATCTAGATCTTCCTAGAAGTCCGCTTGACACGCCCCATTCTAGAAAATATCCCTGGCAATATCGCCTTTAAAGATGAACACGTCTTTCTGTCTTGACATATTTGTTAATAAGAAAAAATAAATTACGTTAATTTAAATTTTCTAATTGAGTCACGTTTGTTATATTCTTTGTGCCAGTTAACTGATTATTCATGACAGTAAACCACGAGTATTCCATGATTTATTTTGCTGAAGTGGGATAACGGAACAAACTCAATCACATAGTAATATAAATAACCAATGCGAGTTGGCAACTCTCAGGAACCATACCTTTCATCCTGTATATTACAAAATAAACAATTCTGTACTATTTCCTTCTAGTGTAAATGCATGGTCATAATATCATACATCTTGTACTGAACCCAGACACATCCACTAAAAATATCTTTTTCTACTGCGTGTGGACGCGGGGTTGGCATGGCTTGAACGCACACCAACAAAAAATGCTCTAAACAGATCTATTGCAGAAAATGGATAAACTTTATAATCATAAAAAACGTCCGTGCTAAAAGACCCATTATCTGCATGTTAGCTGCATACATGTTACATATACATAGGCAAAAAATGCTTAACATATATTTTTGGAAATATTATCATATTTATTCTAGTGCAATCCATACCGTAAAAAAAAATTTTAAGAATAAGTAAAAAAAGTATTATGGAATATGTTGTGTAAATAAATTACAGATAGAAATCTGTTAGGAGGCTTGTATGTAAATAATACGGCTTTCCGTGCGAAAAGGCCAAAGACCACTTTGGCTAAAATAGAAAAAATTGATATCGTTTTTATGAAGAGTAGGTTTTGAACTTCATTTATTTTCTATGTACTAGTTTAGACTGACTTTGTCTGCTATTTTTATAGTTCTTGTGGTAATGGCAGGTATTAAAATTCTGCGGCTAATTAAAAGTAATAAATAAGCTTTCATTAAGTGAAGGCACTTTTTGTGTGCCATCTTCTTATAAAAATTTGTATTGTCTGAAAGGTTTGTGTGTATATGTATAAGTACTTTTATCGCTATCTTCTTATTGTATGTCTGAACTTAACTACTAAGTTCAGACATACCCAACCAGAATTTGCTTCCTTGTGATGTAGTGATGTGATGTGAGGTCTCTTGCATTGAATAAAAATGTCAAAGTATCTATATCACCGTTAAGTTTCTCTGTACGTAACGGATTGACAATGGATTTGATAATTTTGGCCTATGACTAAATAAACCAACATCATGAGTTCTGTGTTCATTATTAGCATAACAAGTAGAAATTATTTTTAAAATATTTTGCAATTTTATTTTATTCTGATAAAAATAGGATACATACAACAACTCGGTGTATTTACGGTTAGTGTGGGGCTTAATTTGACCATCTCATACACGAAGATAAAGACGTTAATAATTAGTGTATTTTATCTTAAGGAGAATTCAGTATGATGGCAGTGTGCGCTTGTTTAACCTGTTTTGATAGTGAGGTGTTAGGAGGCTTTAAATC